CAAGAAAACTCACCGGCAAATCCCTAAAAAGTGGTATATATACTCTACATCTGGCCTCTGATCAAGTATAGTGATTTGGTTAGTTAAGGTCATATGTCAGCTTCGATGCATGAGTGTGTCTGTCTCTGTATTTGAGTCCTCGAAACCCAACTTTTCTTCGCATATATTGTGTATAGACACTTTGGCATTTAGCTATAACTTACTATATATACACAGGCTGATGGGTGAAAATTGAGTCTTACGAGACTTTTTTTCGTGGCTTCGGTTCGCGTTGGATAGTCAGCTCAATTGAATGGTTTATCTCGTCAAATGTCATTCAAAAATCCTCTTTGGCCTGCGTTTAAGATCATTCAGAGTGAGGCATGTCTTGACGGTTAATCCTTTGCTCGTGCTAAACTCGTGTTGATCGTTCACTCATAATTAGGCAGGCATCATTTATAGTCAAAATCTATTCAATTAGAATCCCATAAGAGCAGAAGGATATGCCGCTATGAACGACTTATAACTCGGACAATTCGTCAATCTTCTGAGAAAGCAAACTGACGACTTCATTAGCCTTGCATTTCCAAGCACAATAAAAACACAATAGCAGACGGATTTAGGAATGTATATAAGGCATGTAGATGAACGTTTGGTTAAGGTTGCAATGAGAAATGCAACATCACGAATTACAGTAGGTGAAGACCTTTTGACAAATTACGGCAGTTTGCGTCTATCATGATTCAGACTGTCTGACAGGCAGGAAACAAGGACACTTTACAGTATACAGGATAGACTGAGTCTGTCTTACTTATTCAGACGTTAAGATACTAAAGCTCGATTAGAGCCTGATGCCAATCAACTATCCTACATTCATCGTTCGTGGCAATTTTTCTGAGCAAAACGTAGTACATAGAGATGGACAAAATCGTTTCCAGGCTTTAGGCTATAAACTACCTTTTTGCCCCACTAGCATTCGATTCTGCCCTGGCTCAAGGATTATAATGCTCCTTCACTCAAAGGATTAGCTAATTTTCCGCGCTTGTATGTGGTAAGTGTGTAGATCGAAAGCTCTAAATAATAAAAAGCTATCATCTAGCCTCCATCTGATCTGTTAACTCTCTTATCTTTCCTAAACGTACATCGAGGAGTGGGTTTGACTCAAGCAGTATATCGGGTCGAAAAATAATAATTGATAAATATAAAGCGCTCCCATCTCAAGCGATAACTATGATTATTTTTTGATCCTATAACAGTAAGATGCGAGAAAAGAAACCGAAAAACTGACACAAAAGTAGATTATCAAGATAAAATATTTTTATGACATAGAAGTTAAACGGTGCGATAGACGAATAAGTAACCCTATTTTGGAATATAAACTATGTTTAGTTGGAAACCAAAGACCAAATGCATTCTTGAATATGGCTTTCATTTGGCCCTAATAAATTTATCCTAACATTGTTGGGGAAACATTAACCTCGTATGAAAATGCATAAAGAAGAGATTAACAAGTCGATCTCATCAGAAGAGGATGGCGGATTCTAGTGAGTTAGACCTTCGAATCTCTTCTTCATGCACTTTGATACGTTACTCGTTGTATCTACAGTCTCTACTAAATTCAAGTGTAAGCGATTTAAAAAAGTCTTAATAGACCAAGGAATCCCTTCCCGAATGGCCGTCAATAAGAATATAAAGATGAACATCATAGCGTAACGTATAAAATGAAGAGCGCATACAAAACCAACTTGGAGGAAGTTCATTGTATAAAAGAAATCTTCCTTTGCCAATCATGTATTTATTTATGTCAACGCCAAAGAGATTAACTGTACAAGCTTTGATGATACTCTTGAGCATAAAAGTTGTCAGATATGAGGTAGTTGTCTGACAGCTAAGTGGACTGTATAATGACAAAAAGCACATAAAGTTAGGCCTGATAGTGATAAATCTTGGCAGATCCGTCTGCAGATGCACTCAAAATGTAATGCTTGACTTGAGGTGTGGAAACTTCAATATCGTGATCAGCTTGATGTGGCTGGGCTCTGGCAAGTGCAATAACTGGAGAGGCCCAGTCAACAGCGGTCACCATATCTGAATGGCCAATTAGATCGTAAAGGGAAACTTGCAGGTTCCGCTGATCCCAGAGACGCACAGTCCGGTCTACAGACCCGGTGATGAATTGCTCAGGTCGGTGGGGCGCCCACGCACAAGAGGTCAGCCAGGCGGTGTGGCCACGATAACCGATAGAGGCCAAGGCATCTGAGGTGTATAAAATATCATGAGTAATTTTAGAATATAATTTTTTTCAAAGGAAATGCTGAAGCTTTTAATTATCTAGAGCTCAAGCAATTGATATTTTATTTTTCGCTTCATAAATAGGATTTTCAAAGCTACCAGTCGATCTAGCATGAGAGATGTATTCACCCTGTTGCGTTGGTGATGAAGGACTGGCAGATTAATTTTCTCACAATGATATGAAAAGGCCTTATGTTTTCAGTGAATTTCACATAGCCTTGCTTCCTAAGGTATTCTCATCCAAAGTGGACTGCAGTTTAGACCCCGTCAAAACGGATCTAATCCGCTCCCCCAACGGGACTTGAATCGTAATAGTGCAGTGTATAATCTCGAAACGTTAACCACTACGCCACATTGTCACAAGTGCTCTTGAGTTACAGGCTAGATGTAAAGTTCAAGATCAGGCATTCTCCAATATCACATTCTGTGATTGGATTGTAAATTAATCAGTTGTATTTGCAATAACAATCAACTACATTACTCATTTCTCGTTTCATAAGTAGGCTTTTCGAGGCTACCAGTAGATCAGATATGGGCTGTACTAATTTTGTTATTGTATAGGATGAAAAAAGCTCTTATATAAGAAATTTTAGTGACTATATGTATATTTTAATGATGTCCATTTACTTAAGGCATGCACCTGAGTCTTTTATTAAGAAGCATTGAGAAAACCAATAAAGTAAAAGATCATCTAGGTCCAAAGATAATGG